TTATTATTATTATTATTATTATTATTATTATTATTATTATTATTATTATTATTATTATTAGTTGGGGAGAAAAAGCAGGAGATTGACACAAGGTAATAATACTTTTTTAGAGAATTGGTGCAGGCACAAAAGGCCACATGGCTGGCTTCTGTACTGTAGCTGTTGTGTATCCAAACTATACCTGTTGCAAGTCCCTTCATCCCTTTAGATTTACAAGATCTATTGAATTAGATTATTGAAGCTTCATTTAGAATTTTTACTTGTGTTAGCACCTACTATTTGATTTGGATGGGAGTTCCTGAATCACCTACCTCTGATAAAGGTTATGCTCTAATATCCTAAACTCTACAGAGCCAGGCAGTGGAAAAAGCATCTACTCTTAAAACGTTCACTTGAATCACCTCTTAAAGTTGTACGTAGCTCAAGTTTGGCTTATGCAGTCTCACAATTGTGTGTTTACTCCTTGTCAACCTTTGGAGCTTTGTTAAAATTAGAGTAAATCTGCATTCCTTCAAAGATTAACGCATCCTTTATGCAGTGCCTAGAACTGTACATAGTACCCTAGAGCACTGTCAAATCCAGCTTTGTATCGTGTAACAAAAAGTTTCTGCCTTTGTATTCTAGCACTTTAGGGAGAGAATTTTTTCCATTAGTCTTGCTGGTTTTTGTTTCTGTCCCTGACTGCTACATTTTACTAGGTGTAGAGCTGGATGAACACAGCAGGCCAAGCAGCATCAGAGGAGCAGGAAGTCTGACGTTTCGGGCCTAGACCCTTCTTCAGAAATTTCAGTGTTCCTGCTCCTCTGATGCTGCTTGGCCTGCTGTGTTCATCCAGCTCTACACCTTGTTATCTCAGATTCTCCAGCATCTGCAGTTCCTACTATCTCTGCTACATTTTACTGATCTGCATAGATTACTAAATCTGAGTCAGAAGTCAGAAACGCTTCACCTGATGAAGGAGCAGCGCTCCAAAAACTTGTAATTTCAAATAAACCTGTTAGCCTGTAACCTGGTGTCATGTGACATCTGACTTTGTCCACCCCAGACCCAGACCAACACCAGCTCCTCCATATCATTATTAAATCTGACGGGGAAGGAGAGGGGCAGGGGTTGGGGGAGAAAGTAGCGAAGGAATCCAGGGGTAGAAGAGGTGAGCGATGGGACCAGGAATCTGGCAATGATGTTAGGGAGTAGGGAAAAAGGGAGTGAGCAGGTCATGGGGGAAATGTTGAGAAGATGGTTGGTTGTGGTTTTAAATCTGTCTAGCTTTTTCTAGCAATAATCAAGGTACGTAAGTTGGAACCATTGGAGAGTCACTGGCAAACACAGCATTGGTTGCCCATCCTGAATTGCCTTTGAACTGAGTGGCTTGCTGCGCAATTTGAGAGGACGCTTAAGTATCAACCACAGTCACATATAGGCCAGCTTGGTTAAGGATGGCAGATTTCCTTCCTTAAAGGGTATTATTGATCAGGATGGGTTTTTATAACAATTAACAATTGTATAACTGTAGTAATATAATAACTTTATAACAGCTGATTCCAGTCATCACTACAGACACTTTCTGATTGATTTGAACCATCTCCTCAAAGCATTGGCCTGGCCCTCTGATTATTAGATCAGTGACATTATCAGCATGCCTTGAATGCTGCATTATCTAAGGAATTGTGGATGGAGTCACTCTTTGGATAAGATGTTTGAATGAAAGCCTTGATAATCTCATGCTACATCAAAAAGAGATCAGTGAGCATATGAGCAGAAGCAGGCCACTCAGCCCTCAAGCCTAGTCCATCATTCAGGTAAAATCATGGCTGATTACTGCACATTTCCACCAATCCTCAATGACCTTTCAATCCTTTGCTTAGCAAGAATCATAGAAATTTATAGTACAAAAGAAGACCATTTGACCCATTGTGCCTGTACCAGCTCCTGAAAGAGCTACCCAGCTCGTCCCACTCTCCAGCCCTATCTCCGTAGCCCTCTAACTTCATCACATCCAGCTCTCTTTTGAAACCTCCTATGGAATTGGCCTCCACTACTCTCCTAGGCAGTGCACTCTAAATCCTAGCAACTGTCTAAGTAAAGTTTCTCCTCCTCTCACTCCTAGCCCTCATCCTGACCATCTTGAAATTATGACCCCTAGTTACTGACATACCAACTGGTGTAAACAGAATATACTTCTTTACCCAGTTAAAATTGTTCATAAGTTTGATCACTGCAATAAGGTCACCTCATAATCTTGTCTACTCCAAGGAGAATGAGCCTAATGTCTCTCGACTTTCCTTGTATCTAAAATCCTTCATTCCTGTTACCATTTCTAGTAAATCTTTGAACTCTGTTCAGGGCATTGACATCTATATATCGATATCTGCCTTTAAAAATTCAGCCTCTGTTTTTGAAGAAGAGTTCCAAAGACTCCTGTTCCTCTGTGGTGGGGGGAAAAAAAAATCCTCATCCGTTTTGAATGGCTGTTCTCTTACATAATACATAATACATAAACAGTGACCCCTATGTCCAGATGCTCCTGCAAGTGGAAATATTTGTTGCACGTGCACCTTGCCAACACCCTTAGGATCCTGTAATTTTCAATCAAGTCATCTCTTAATTTTCTAAAGTCCAGTGAGTCCAAGCCTAGCCTTATCCAGTCTTTCCTCATAATGCAACCCATCTATTCCAGAGCCTTTTCACATGCAAAATGGCTGGATTTTGAAATTTGCTAACTCAATCTGTATGCACAAATATGAGAAAAGACTAACTTGGTTCATTGAGCCTGGCTCAAGAAATCACTGCAACTGAATGAGGACAGCCCCTGGAGTTCCACTCCATCAGTTATGCAATCTTCTGGGGAATTTGTAGGCCATTACAGGAGCGGGAAACAATGGAGAAATTCCCAATTTCTGTTTTACCTGTGCTGACAACTCAAAACAAATAACACACTGACTTCTCTGTTTCAGTGAGTCCCTGTTAACTGGTAACTTATTACTGGTATTATTAATGCAGAGGATGGCCAGGAAAATCTACTGATCTCTTGCAAGATCCCTCCACTTTCTAAGTTAAATAATTTGCCCACACACTCCAGTGCCTTCCAACATATTTAGTGTTTCAGTGAAATTGTCCTGAAGTACACTCCTCCCCTCTTTTTTTTTTTTCATTCCCCACCACCCCCCCAGCCCTGCTACCGACAGACCTATCTATTGTCATACATAAAGGCTGTTAGATTGTGGGATCATTCTAGTGACCCTCCTTTGTATCACCCAGGGCTCAAAAACTGGACAGTTCAGTCTAGATATGACATAATCAGGGCTTTTGTCAGGGGCCACTTTTTTTTTTCATGTTGGATTATAAACCTGAATGGTGGGTGGATTTGCTATATAGTGAAATACCAGAAGAGCTTTCCAACTTGGAAGAAAAAAATCAAGTGATGCACATTTTTGGTTGATGAAAATAGTGTTGTTTTTGGGGTGGTGTGATCATCGCATTATTGAGTCAGAGTGCCACCACTAGTTCTTGAGTTAGAAGAAAACAGCCTGACAACCTCCCGTGGATTGGTCCAGCTGCAGTTTGTTACAGATGTGTAAATGTAGAATAGCAAAGACATCTGGACCCAGCTAAAAGAAAGCATCTCTGTCTATCTTATGGCTATTTAGATGTTTTCAAAGTGGGTATAGTTTAAATTGTGAACAAAAACAAAGTTGCTGGCAGGTCTGGCAGCATCTGTGAAGGAGAAAACAGGGTTAACGTTTTGGGTCCGGTGACCCTTCCTCAGAACATCTTCAGATGCTGCCAGACCTGCTGAGCTTTTCCAGCAACTTTGTTTTTGTTCCTGATTTACAGCATCCACAGTTCTTGTGGTTTTTATATAGTTTAAGTTGTATAGTAGCAGTTTAGAGATCATTTATTCTTCTCTGCCATTGTTAAAGTTAATTTTATTTACAGTAGGTGGAGTCATTTTCTGTTGATGACAAAACCTGATGTGAATTGCTCCCGTTCGGAATAGCAGTCAATCAGGTGAATTGATTGTCTTGACGGTTAAATTTGGGTAACACATTTTGTGGTGACTTTTGGCATGCATCATTCATGGAACAGTGTGTCAGGTAATGATCGTCTCCAACAGGAGAGAATATTATCATCTAACATTGACATTCAATGCAATTACTATCGCTAACCCTACCTTCTCTCTCACTGTCTGTCCTGCCACCACAAATACTTCCCAGCACTGCCAATATCTTGGGGAATACAATTGACCAGAAGCTAAACTGGACTTGCCATACCAATAGCGTGGCTATCAGAGGAATTCAGAGGCTGGGAATCCTGCAGTGAGTAACTCACTTCCTGACTCCCTAAAACTTGACCGCCATCTACAAAGCAGAAGTCAGGACTGTAAAAGAATACTCTCCACTAGGCTGATGCATGTCCAACAACACTCAAGAAACCTGACACTATCCAACCCAAAGCAGCCACTTGATCAACCCATTTACCACCTTAGATGTTCACTCCCTTCACTCCTCATCATCTACAAGATGCACGACTGCAACTCACTTTGACAGCATCTTCTAAATTGGCTCTACAACTAGAAAGACAAGGACAGCGAATATGTGAGAACATCATCACCTGCAAGTTCCTTTCCAGGTCACAGAGCATCCCTCGGAGCTATAATCACACTTCCTTCATGGTGACTGAATCAAAACTCTGGAATTCCCTTCCCAATAGCATTGTGAGCATACCTACAACACATGGACTGCAGTGGTTCATGAAGATACATCACTACCACTTTCTCAAGGGAAAATAGGGATGAGCAATCAACACTAGCTTCCCAGAAACAAATATTTTAAATGGGGTCCTCATACTCATGCAGATCTTGTGTTATTGCAAACTTGTAGAGAGTACCAACAGCACATTCAGCTCACTACTGAATGTAGATTTGTGAGCAGCCTGTGGTGTCCTTGTCTGAATCATTCTGAGCCACCACTAACAACTGGTTTCCACATATTCAATGACGAGCCTCTGTCAGTTGGGAAGCAATCGGTTACTCATTGCAGGATCTGGCCTCCTATCCCACAGCTCTGCTCTCTTTATAAAATGGCACATTAACTGTGGGAGCTACTTCCTATCCACCAACCATTATATGAGTAGTTTGGAGTGATGCTCTTTTTTTTCTTGAACAGAAATGATTTTATTTATTATTGCCACACCTACCTAGGTACAGTGAAAAGTTTTGCACGCGGTACAGGCAGATCATACTTTCCAAAGTGCATTAGAGTAATAGAACAGAGTGAGGAATACAACGTTATGGCTGCAGAGAAGGTGAACAAAGAGCAAGGTCAACATTAAATTTGAGAGACCCATTCAGAAATCCAGTAGCAGGGAAGAAGCTGTTCTTGAATCTATTCCTACGTGTATACAAACCTTTATATCTTCTGCCTGATGGAAGAGGGTGGAAGAGAATTTCACCAGGGTGGCAAGGATCTTTGATTATGTCGGCCCAGTGTTTCCTAAATTTTCTGGGTGAATCCAATCTGAAGATTCCTTGAGCAATTTTGTGAGCAAGGCCCTGCATCCAAATTTGGCTGTACCTACACACTGGCTTTTTATCTTTCACAATTATTGCATGTCCTGTCCTCTGGCTAATCCAATTTTACAGTTCATTATCTTTACTCTTCCTTTGTTGTCGTCAGTCTCAAGTGTTACAACAGAGACAGACATCAAAATCTAACCAGCCTTGCTATCCCTGTATTCACAACACAATAAAATTAAAATACTTAATGACCTTCTAAACTGACTCCAATAGTTCCGAACCAGACTTGGTGAATAACTGGTACAAGACACTAGTTTATAGGTTAAACAAAAGATTTAACAATTTAGTAATAATACAGCAATTTTAGCAGAGAAAAGTTAATCAATAAACTAATCTAATCAATGTCAATAATGTCAACTCAAACGTATTTATTTTGAGCCCTTGCTCACAAAGAAATTAGGGATAAATCAAAAATGAAAAATTAAGTGGAATGTAACTGGTCACTTCACTTAAGCAGTCTCTACAATCTGTAGCGTCACCAGCACATGTACCTTGCTTGGTTTCTGACAGCATCAATACATGCAAATATCTTCCAACAGGCTCCAAGGAATAGCCACTTAATTCTTATAAATTCTATTCTCCAAACTTTCAATAAATTGTTTCTGGTTGTCCCCTCATTATCAATCAGACCTCTGTCCCAAAACCAAAAACAAGTTCAAACTGTCCATGCCGGACTGGCTGTCCCCCCAAGAGGTCCCAGTAGATCTTTAACATCTGTAAGTACATGAATAGGAAAGGCCTGGTTTGGCCACATCTGGAGTATTGTGTCCGGTTCTGGTTGCCTCATTACAAGAAAGATATGGAAGCGTTGCAAAAGGTGCAGAGGACATTTACCAGGATGTTGCCTGGAATGGAGGGAAGGTCTAACGAGGAAAGGTTGAGAGAGCTCGGGCTTTTCTCTTTAGAACGACGAAGGATGAGAGGTGACTTGATAGAGGTGTACAAAATGATCAGAGGTATAGATAGAGTAGACAGCCAGAGACTTTTTCCTAGGGTGGAGGTAGCTATTACAAGGGGGCATAGTTTTAAAGTGAGTGGAGGTAGATATAGGGGAGACGTCAGAGGTAGGTTCTTTACTCAGAGAGTGGTAGTGGCGTGGAATGCATTGCCGGAGAAGGTAGTGGAGTCGGCCTCATTAGGGGCATTTAAGTGGCTATTAGATAGGCATATGGATGATAGTATAAGGTAGGGGTGGAGGTTAAATAGACCTTAGGTTTAGGGTAAAAGTTCGGCACAACATCGTGGGTCGAAGGACAGGACAGCACAGTACAGGCCCTGTGTTCTATGTTTGGAGGCATATATGGGCCAAACGCGGGCAGATGGGACTAGTTTCGTTTGGGAACATGATTGGCATATATTAGTTGGACTGATGGTTCTGGAGGAGCTGTACATTGTAACTGCAGAACCATTACCAACAACAGTTGTCTTAGGAAGAATAAGGAGAAGTTGGATAAGGTCTAGAATAGTTTGTATTAATTTTTGTCTGGAAGGTTGTAAAGAGTCCTTGTTGAAAGATGATGTACTGTCTATCAAGCTTCTATTCAGCACTGTTGAGACGATTCAAGAGGCTGTGAACAAAGAGGTAGGAGTGTCATCCAGGATAGGATTTTGTGTTGCAGTGACTTAATTTCACTTTTTTTCTTCCCTCACCTGCAGAGTGCAATTCCACAGCAGAAGGTGCTGCAACCAGTTCACCAGCCGTTCAGTACTGGATCAGACCAGACTACTTTCGACCTCATCTCTCGCTACAAGGAGCGCCCTTGGGAATATCTGCAGAGCGAAGGTGTTTGCTGCATATTTAAACAACTAGTCATGCTCCATACTGGCTCCACCACTGAACAGACAAAAACTGCTCAGTGATGCAGAATGATTTGCAGCAATTTGTTCAGACTGTGGGTTTCTCTTGCAAGCCGTCTCAGGCTGTGCTGATCACTCTTTGTAACCAGAATGACCTATGATATTTAAGTAAAATATGAGGGCTTTCTTAAATGTATGAATGTGGGCAGAGAACTTAACATTGATGAAATTGTTGCTCAGTTACTGAGAGAGCTGGTTGCAGGATATGCTTCACCCTGGCTCATTGTGGGGTGTCACTTAAAGAAGTATGGGTAGCTAGGCTGTCTCTTTGACATGCACACTCTGCATCTCCAGATATGTCTGATCATTTCTGTCCTGGAGTTAGTTCTGCATATGATTGATGACTTTGTTACATTAACCATAGCCTTTTAAAATGGTTGCATTCTGATTCATTTTATTTGTGCTGACCACTCAATGGCTGAGCATTTGAACATCAAGGAGATTCAGTGATTATGGCTAATTAGGACTTGAATTTTTCTTTCTGCTAGTCTGGTGGATCTCTGATCAGGTGTAAGAGTGTTACAAAAATGTTGGACAGCGAGGGATTAGCTGGGACAGAAGGTCAGACACTATCCTTTGTCCCCTCTGGGACTAGTGGGGCAGTGAGCCAGACTCTGTCCTTTGCCCTTTTCTCCACTACTAGATGGGATAATCAGTCAGGTGGTTCATGCTTGCTTCATAGAATACAGCGTTCCTGCTAGGGTCGTAATCCCACCCAGGGCTTTGGTCGGAAAGTGGGTGTGAAGAGGAGTGGTGAATGGGCTTGGTTGTTACTCTTCGTGACCCCCCTCCTCCTCCAACACCAGTGGAGTTTCATAAGAAGTTGTTGCACAAATGGGTCATAGCCCAGATTTACTCCTCTGTCAACTTTTAGAACACCCCTGATTTGTATCATCATGCAGCTTTTACAGACCCAGAACTAATGATGCGTTTTCAACCATAAAGAATAGTCCTCAACTTTCCAAGATGATGCTCCAGGTCACTTGTTCCATTTATTTTTGTCACTTTTGTTAGCTATTGCAGGATCTATGTTGGGGTGCGGGAAGAGGGATGTTTGACTGACTGTTAAGACTCATTCAATCAGGTATCAGGAAACTCGGTTCAGTTTGATTGGCCATGCTCCCTGAGGATAGATGTGTCAGGCAGTCGATGGCAGAGGATAGTCTAGGTGAATGTGAAAGCTCCAGATTTGGCAACTTTGACTCCACTCCCCACCCCACGCACCTTCCCTACTCGCAACAACTAATAGGCACTAATCCACATGACAGTGGTTGAGTTAACCTGGGCTGAGAGCTCAGATGGAGATTGTGGCCTTTATTATGCTCTGGCACTTTGCATAACAACTTGTAGACTTGCTGGCCGAGTCATGTGGAAGTTGTGCTTGTGAATTGTAGATTTTTAATGGCAAATCCAGAAATCAAAATTCTTTTGCTGAAAGATAGTGATTCAAGGATGCAGTCCCTTGGCTTTAATTTTCCCTCAGTCTCTTTCTGTGTCGTGTTGCAGAATACATTGAGCGTTATGGAAAACAGCCTGTCTGGGCTGACTATCGGAGGAACCACAAAGGTGGCATCCCACCTCAGAAGACCCGGAAAACCTGCATTGTAAGTTCAGCGTGCTCGTAGTAGGGCTGTTTAGTTTTAGGTTTTGTAGGGTTTTTTTTTATTCTTACTAACCCACCTGTCTTGAGTGCTGCGAACAGATAGATTAAGTACAGAGAAGTTGACTTCATGGGTGGACAGATCAAGAACACAGGAGGCATGACCTTAAAATTCAAACTATGTGGTTCAGAAATTAGAAAGTTCCTTTTGATGTAAAAGAGGAATGAAAGTTGGGAACTAGTGGCCTAAAAGGCAATGGAGTGAACTTAAATATTTGAGACAGAGATTAGTAAATTTTTATTAAGGGTGTTGAAGGACATGGTGAAGGTATGTGAAGAAAAAGCTGATAACTGGAACAGTGGTACAGATTAGGCATGATGTAACTGGAGGGCAATGGGAGCTTGAAATAAAAACATAAAAAAATTGCAGAGTTGATATTTTGGGTTGGAATGAAGATTGTAGACATACAAGTTTCTCCCATTGTGATTGTTTGTCTAGTTCCTTTTTTTTGAAAATTATTGTTAATCTGTTCTCTGAAACAATTTACTGTGGTTTAAACAAGCAGCCTCCTCTGCCTCCAACCTATGGTTCTTTTGCCTTTCTTTGTCATCCTTATTCACTGTCAAAGTCCCCTGTGATTTTGGACAGGTTCCTTTTAAGTTCCATTTTCACCTTCCTTGAGAAATCTCTCAGCTTCTCCCCCCTCTCTATGTGCACTGATGTCCCCTATCCTTTTTTATGTTCCAGTCTATCCTCTGCATCCTCTCCAAGGCCTTCCTACAGGTGTGGTGTGCAGAAATGCTCTACAATGAAAGTGAGGGTATTGGGTGAAAAGATGATTATACCTTCCAAACTTTTGTATTCGGTTACTTTATTATTGAAACCAAGGATGCTATGTCATATTTTAACAGCCTTCACAACTTGGAGTTAGATGGACAGGAGGTGGGAGGAAGTATGCTTGAAGTGTAAATGACTGCTCATGGACTAAGTGGCCTGTATCTGGAGTCAAAACAGAAAACGCTGAAAATATTAAGCAGGTCCATTGTGCCCTGAAATGCTAATTCTGTTTCTCCAGAAGATGTTTGACCTGCTGAGTTCTTTCAACACTTTCAGTTTTTATTTCACTTTTTCAGCGTCTAGAACGTTTTGTTTTCGTGTCAGTGTAGCATGTTTTTGTGCTTTAGAGTCTGTGTAATTCTGCACCACTCGTGTTGCAATCTTTTGTCTGAAAAGGTTTGTGCATGTAAATTGCCAGCTCTGTTCTCCTCTCCCCACTGCATTTTAAAATTGGACCATTTTAACAAATTACGTTTCCTCTTCTGCAGAGAGGTGACAAGATCAGTGGTAATCCTTGCCCCATATGTCGAGATCCAAAGATTCAGGTCGACCACAGGGTGAGCATTTTCGTTTCGGACAAATGCCTGTGTATTTTTATTGATTCAGACAATATGGCTGACTCTTGCAAGTCTGCATTTACAACTCTTTTTTTTTTTTCCCACATTTCCCTGAAAAGTGGGTGGTTGGGGCTTCAAGTAAATCGCTATGACTTGCTAGGCTAGATTTGATGGGCTTTTGGAGTGGACCAGTAGACCAAGTAAAGTTTGCAAACTCCTTTTATGCATGGAGTTACACAGTACAGAAACAGAAACTCATCCATACTGACCATGTTTACCAAGCTAAACTAGATCCATTTGTCTGCATTTGTGCCATATACTTCTAACCCTTTCCTATTTGCGTAACTGTCCAAATGTTTTTTCAAATGTTGTAACTATACCTGAATCTACCACTTCGTCTGGCAGTTCATTCCACAAATGAGCCACCCTTTGTGTGAAAACCCCTCGGGTCCATTTAAAATCTTTCTATTCTCACCTTAAAATTATGCCATTTAGTTTTGAACTCCCCCCACCCTAGGGAAACGACCTTTGCTATTCACCTTATCTATGCTCCTCATGATTTTATAAACCTCTGTAAGGTCACCCCTCAACCTTCTCCACTCCTGAGAGAAAAAAGTCCCAGCCTATCCAGCGTCTCCTTTTAATTCAAACCCTCCAGTCCCGGTAACATCCTGGTAAATCTTTTCTGCACTCTTTCCAATTTAATAATATCATTCCTCTAGCAGGGCGGCCAAAACTATACAAAGTACTCCAAAAGTGGCCTTACTAACATCTGTATAGACGCAACATGATGTTCCAACTCCTATACTCAATATTCTAATCAGTGAAGGCAAGCATGCCAAATGCTGCCTTCACCACCCTGTCTACCTGTGACTCCACTTTAAAATAACTGTGTTCCGACACTCCTAGGTCTCTCTGTTCGACAGCACTCCCCAGGGCTTTACCATGAAGTCTTGTGTAAGTCTTGCTGATGTTCGTCTTATCAAAATGCACTACCTTGCATTTATTTAAATTAAACTCCACCTGCCAATCCTTGGCCCATTGGCCCAGTTGGTTGCGATCCTGTTATATTCTCAGATAATTTCATCATACCACAATTTTGGTATCATCCACAAGCTTACTTGCCATGCTTTCTAAATTCTCATCCTAACTGTTCATATAAATAACCAGCAACAGTAGACCCAATTCCAGTCTCTGCGAAACACCATTGGTCACAGGCCTCCAATCTGAAAAACAACTATCTACCACCAGTACCCTCTATTTCCTGCAGTCAAGCTAATTTTGTATCCAATTGGCAATCTCTCCCTGGATCCCATGTGATCTAACTTTACTGTCGAGTCTTCCACATGGAACCTTGTCAAAGGCCTGCATGAAGAACATTTATTTGTTGAAAAGCAAGGTTTTTACAGTGATAATTTTTAATACTGACTGCCCGCTGGGGGAATGTGTGGCATTATGGTAATGTCAGTAGATGAGTAATTTAGAAGCCCAGCTGAATGGTCAGGAGTCCTGAGTTCAAATCCTGCCATAGAGATGGAGGAATTTAAATGTAATTAATAATAAATCTGGAATAAAATTCTAGTCTTCTAAATAGATTATTAAACTGCTAGATAGATAGGAAAAAAAACACCTGGGCATTTGTGGAAGGAATCTGCTGTCCTTAGCCAATGTAGCCTACATGTGACACCAGATTCTCAACAGTGTGACTCTGAACTGCTGTCTGAAAGGCCTAGCAAGGCTCATCACCTCTAATTTTCTTTCCTGCTGCATGGGCTCTGACGTTTATGTTCAGTGGAGACTTCGGAACTGGAAGTTAATGCTGCAGTCAGCGTGCTGACATTGATTGTTATGTGCAGAACCCTGAACTGAGAATGTTTCTCATGACCATCTGCTCAAGGGCTGGGCAATAAATGCTGGCTTTGCCAGTGCTGTTGACTCCTTGACAATAATTCTATAAAAATTCACCCTTGGCATCACACAAAATTCTCATCTAAGGGTTCATGTCTCTCCAAGCCTCACCATTCCCTGTATCTGCAATTGCCTCCAACCTTCTGCGATCTCTTTCCCTCCAATGCTGATCTCTGAGGTACCCCTTAACTCCGTATCATTAGGGCCTGTGCCTTCAATTGCCTTGGCCTCATGCTCTGGAATTCAGTCCATGAACACTCTAAACTCTCTGTCTAGGTTTTAAGAAGTGAGTTAAAATATAACTCTTTGATCAAGCTTTCAGTCATCTGTCCTGATAATCTCCTTGTTATTGAATTTCCAAGAAATTTGCTGTTGGCACGACTTAACTGTGAAGAGTGTGCCTATAATCCACAGGCCATCCCAAAAATCTATAAATTTCAGATTTAGCTGAGGGGCTGCTATTTAGTACAGTTCACACCAGATTTTGTCATTAACAGAAAATAACCATTTATTATAAACACAATTAATTTTAGCAAATTACAGAGAATCTATGACTGTGCAGCTTATACTTCTTCAAAAGTGCCAAATGCATGTGTGCTTGCGCGCACACTCACATTTAAGATAAATTAGTTGACAGTACAGATGAAAGAATATCAAAGGGCAAATAAAATTCCACAAATCAGAAATCCAGACCAAAGATTGAGTTATTTTCTCTGCATCATTTTTGATTTTTAGCTGTTTTCTGATGGCTGTTCTTTGATTTAATGGTTTTTCACCTGTACTAGTCTTGCCAAATTATTGGTGATTAGAGCTATTCAGAGAATTAACAAGTTGAACCTTCTGTTTCTCTGGAAAAGAGAAGACGGGGAAATGACCTGATGTAGGCCTCCTAAAAGTGTTAGACAAAGTTGACATGGAAGGAATATTCCTAATTGTGAGAGAATCCAATACAAGATTGTTACTGATCAGTCCAAGAGGGAAATTAGAAATTTCTACATCTAGAAGATGGTTAGAACATGGAACTTGCTACTACAAAAAATGGTTGATCTGAATCGTGTAAGTGCTCCCAATAGGAATACATGAGAGAAAAAGGAATAGGGAGATTTACTGATGGGTGGAATTGGCAGAAGATACTTGACAGCTAAGCACCAGCACACTTTGGTGGACTGAGTGTCCTGTTGCTGTTCTGTATCTTCCATGTAATTTGGGATTTATGATAGTATATAATTGATAGCACCACAGCAGGGCAGAGCTTATGTTGAGTTAGGTTGTCTAGATCATCCAGTGCTCATTGACTCTGTGGGTTTCATTTCCTACAGAATGTGAAACTGCTGGAACAGTTCATTTGTCCTCACACTGGTACCATATATCATCCGACCAGAACTGGTAAGAATCAGATTTACCACTTCTTTGTTACTTTTAATACACAGAAATTTGAAACTTAAACAAAATGTGTTCTCACGAGTGAAATACATAGCAAATAGAGTCTGTTTGCTGTTCAAATAAGGTATCTGGCTTATGGTTGAACCTGACAGACCAGAAGGTCAGAGTTTCAGTGGTTGATTTTTAATGATCTTAGCTATGGATTGGGAGTAGTTTCTAACTGAGATCAGTTACTATCATTTCTCCCTCTGGGGTGAGCTGGGGCACTGCTCAGACCCTGGACTTTAAGGAAAACAGGAGTAAGCCATTCAGACTGTTGAGCCTGCCCCACTATTGAATACAGTCATGACTGCAAACACTTCAGTGGCTTTTACCCATCCCATCCCTGTAATGGTGTTTCCACTGTTTAATAGAAATCTCTATCTTTAAACATACCCACAGGCTAAGTTACCACAGCCCTCTGAGTTAGAGAATTCAAGGTTCAGAACTCACACGTAAGACAATTCCTCCTCACCTCGGACCTAAATGGCATTCCCCCTTTTATTTTTGAATTGTGCCCCTGTTGCATCTACCTTGTCTCACTTTAAATACTTTGTAGGTTTCAATGAGGTCACCTTTCTCATTTTATGAAATTCTCGCATGCAAACCCAGTTTGATCACTCTCTTCTTGGGACAGCCCTAACCTTTTAGGAACAGGTCTGACGAACCTTTTTCTCAATCCCAATATGGCAGTAATATCTTTTTTCTGAGCTAACAAGATCAAAACTACACACTGCAGGTGTGGTCTAGCCAAGCTCCTATAAAATTGAAGCAAATCTTCACTCAGAATCCTCTTACAATGAAGGTTAACCTTCCATTGGCTTGCTGGATTTGCATGTTGTCCTTTGGTAATTTATCTACAAGGACACCTGGGTTCCATATTATATTTCATTTGCCATGCTCTTGTCTATTCACTAAATCCTTCTGAAGCTGTTTATCTTTTTTGCAACATTGCTATTTAGCTTTTATAGCACCCAAAAATTTGGATGATTGAGATCTATTGTGAACAGCTGGGGCCCAAGTACTGATCATTGTGATACCCCACAAGTTGCAGCCTGCCAACATGAGAATGACCTATTTATTCCGACTGTTAACCAATCATTTAATTATGCCAGAACATTATATCTCATCCCATCTCATGTTTTAATTTTTCTGAACAGTTTCCTGTAGGGAACCTTTGCTAAAGTCTAAGTTTACTACCTCTATTGGATTCCATCAATTTTGTTAGTAACAACTTCAGAAAAGTTCCCAAGTTCATCAAACACAATTTCACATTCGCAAATCTATGCTGACTGTGCCAAATCAGATCACTATCATTCAAATGACTACTTATTACATCCTTTTATAATACATTTTTTAGAATGTCCCTACTACTGACGTAAGGCTCCTAGGTTGATAGTTCCCCGTTTTCTTTTACTTCCTCCTTTAAATAGTGGAGTGACGTTTCCTACTTTGCAATCCACAAATCGTTCTAGCCATGTCCTTCAACGTGCAGGACCTGACAGTCTAGGGGTTTTATCAACTTTCAAACCCATTAATTTCTTCAGTATAATCATCTTAGCATTGCTGATTTTCTTAACACATCATTGTCTCTAGCCACCTGGATCTCTAGCTCTGGGAAATTTCTTGACTCTTCCTCTGTAAAAACAGACACAAAGTAATCATTTAGCTTTTCTCCTTTCTCCCTATTATAAATTCTTATTGTCTTAACCAAACGTTTCCTTTTTACCCATCTAATTTGGTCCTAGGTGTTTGTATGAAACAGTACAAGAAGTTGACCAAAGCAATACAAGATGCTAAGGATCATGGTAAGTGATCTGGGCCATAGGGGAAACAAAAGTATAAGGTGAAAGGATTATGGAGAAATCCTAATCCACCTACATTGTGAATTATTTGGATTGAAACCTCTGCTGTAGTACATCATGCAGCCATTTAAACCAAATCACTCCATTTGACCCCTTGGAATCTAGAGGTACGTTGGGGTGCATGCTATTCTTTCATCAATAGGACAGGCATTCAATTGTAGCACACAGGAAATTATCTTCTGCGAAGCTGGTTGAAGAGTAGTGCAAATTTTCACTACAATATCATCAGTTTGACTTTTCTTTTCAATTATGCACATTCCTGCCTTCTTACAACTTTTTGTGTCTAACATCTTTCATTCTACACAGCTCCCAAAATTCTATCTTCTTCCAAATATAATCTTTTCATCATAGGTAGCGACAGATACCAGTCCTTAATATCTCCCATGGGTCAGTGTCAGGACATCTTGTGAAGGCCACTTGAGATATTTAAGACACTTTTTACATGCAAGTTGTTGGCACTGGAGGTGATGTTTTGTAAAGTGCCTTTTTCTGAACCAGACAAAGATCCTGAGTTATAACTGTTTTGTGCTGTGCATATTTTTAATCAGCTTGTTCAAATGTGTTAAATACACCTTTGAGAAGGTAGGACTTGAATCCAGGCCTCCTGGCTCAGAGGTAGGGCCCACGTATCTGTGCTGTAACTCGAGTAGATGGGACTTGAACACAGGTCTCTCGGTCCAGCGATAGGCACGCTACTACCGCCCTACAAGAGTGCACCGAGTTCCCATGCTGTACTAGCTAATGCTTGATAGTCCTCATTCCTGGCCAACCAGATGACAACTATGTGTTAGTAGCCACTTGTTGACTTCATGAGTTGAACGTTTTTAAAGATTAAGTGCATTGGCTCAGTTTATACTTGTAAAGGGTAAATTTAGAAAAAAAATTATTTAAGGCACAGTTCCTGACTGGTGTAATATAATTTGCTCCTTCAGGTCTGGTCCCTCACATACCCATGTCCTGCTCCTAATTCAGCTTTGCACCTCATTGCAGGTTTGCTTGGATTCCAAGTCCCACACATTGAGATCAATCTGGACAATTACTCTGGCTCACATGGGGCAGTGGGCAAAACCCCATCCCCACCCAGGCAGGAAGGTCCTTGGTACAGCTGGTATGATTGGCAGGATCCACCCGAGAAGGAGATTACTCGGATTCGCAAGATGTACAAACCCTTCCTGAAAGAGGACGTTGCTCAAACTTCAACTAAAACAACATAGCTTTTCAAATGATCCCAACACCAATTAATGGCCATGTGGGTGTGTTTCTAGAGCACGCTGAAATTTTGAATAAAATGTGAAAACACTCACTGTAGCCTACTCATTGCCATTCATAATGGATGGGGAACTGCTAGTTTAAATATTAAACAAAAAGTGACCAAGACAGTATTTACTAAGTCCAATACAAATTAATTTTACTGCCTGATGGTTGTGGCAGTATAGTTCGTAAAGGGGTGTAGAGATGGTACCTGGGATTGGTAAGTTTAAAAGGCACTCAGAATTTAAGTAATTACTCTTATCAAACCTCAAGGGTGCATACAGAGGACATTCTTGTTAATGTCTTGGCTATATTTCACTACACATCTATAATTTAAATATCTATCCTGACTAGTTACTGTGCTTATTCTCACTAGCCAGGGAAATTAAAGTATTTAGGCAGTGAATATTGTACACGCTGATGGTGGAAATTGTCAAAGGTAACAGTAACTTCCAAAAGGGAATACATTAAGTACACGATGGTCAATAAATTGCAGAACTCTATATAATAAAGAGGCAGGAGCACAGAAACTAATTGGTAATATCTACTGAAGAGACAGTGAAAAGGCAAAATTGTTGTGAAAAAGCATTGAGGAAAGCCAAGTCTAAGAATCCAAAATAAGGGTTTAGTGCTGCTGTGATTGCTTGCAATGGCACCTAGTTATGTGGCACAGGTCACAGAATAATGGCAATTCACTCAATCCCTGATGCACATTTCTTGATGTCTAGTTTATGATTTATATTAAGAGCGATCAGCAGGGGTTTCTGTATGAAATGTGCATGAAATAATCATTCACCTTGTAGGGTAGTCATGCCAAATGAAGTACGCAAAAATCCATGTCCCAGGCCATTGCCAAGATGTAGCACGCATTAGGGTAGAGATTAATTCTCTTGACTCTAGCTGATTCAGGCAGCTAGCCAGAAGCTAGCACACTGCATCTCCTTCAACCAGCCTATCAATGCTCTCAGTAAACTGGAATGTGTTCACATTTATCTCAGTGCACGTGGGGGGTAGAACAAAGACAAATCCTACACTTGTCACTTTGGATGAAATACACTGTCAGAGTTTAAGCCAAGCACACCAAAATAAAAAAGAAAATCTAGAGAAGTGTGAATATTGCTCCATTTGTATAAAGTGTGAGAATTTAGTATATTTATGCCAAGTAGCTGCTTTTCTGTTTAGTTACAACATTAAATTTGGATAGGCTAAAGCCAGGAAATAACATTCAAGAAAGTTTCAAATTTACAAAAGGAGTCTGAATAAACCACCCAAAACCTCAGTAAAGTTAGGGTACACAGGAGATTCAAGCCAACTACCCATACAAAGCCTGCCTCTTACTGGTGGAAATGCTGCTTTACAGTCAGCTTTCCTCAATAGGAATGTCTGAAGAGGATGCTGAACACCTGGAAAGGGTTAAGTAAGAGGGCTCAAGCTGAACCAGGCATCACAACAAATAACCAGTCAGTAAACAAAACCTATTTAACTGGTAGTGCCCTAATCATTTTACCACCCATTTGTTGAATCTCCTGTACCGATAATTATTCAGTACTAAAAATCGATGCAGAATGTGTCAGGTATGTTTCTTTAGTGTAAAATAATTTTATTTGTATGCTGTCTAGATTTTTTGTGGTATTTGTTCTCAATTAAAAAGTGGTCAGTTCTACAAAGCAAGTGCACTAAACAGTTATTTACACTTGGCACAAGATTAGTGCAAATGCAAAGTATTCTTTGATTTAATAAAAAAACCAAGCCCACTGTGCAATCCTAAATATGACCAAAGGTGAAACTGCTGCCCAACATTTAGCCAAGTCACTTAAGAGATTGAGCTCATACCACATAATTGTGTAATACAGCAGGACATAACTTGACATTTGGGAGCTGCAGATGCAAGTGATATTCCATCAATGATAAACAGAGTTCGTAAAAAGATAGGTGATGGGTGCTGGGACATCCCAGACCACTTCTTTCCAATTCATATACCATCTGCTGCACTTCTCCCCTGCCACCCCAATTATAGAAGTGATTCAGGGAAGGTACAAAGTGAATTGAATGCTTGAATAATGCAACTTAATACCTTGTCAAGTGTTTCTAGGACCAATTTCAGCAGTGTTGATGTCTGCTCCAGTGTGCCTTTACACAAATACAGTAATTCAAATTTGCACATGAGCAATCTTTGACAAAATACTGCAGACTCTGAAGCTACTTGGCTACTGTAGTACTGAATTTCAGTGAATCGGAAACCCTTTAAAGTCTCTTTTAAACATGCCGAAATCTGAGAAACCAGTATGCCTGAGCTGCTATAATGCAACAAACAGATGAAAAGGGCAAGACAACATATTTTCTATATTTAAGTCCAAGATGCTTCCAGTTTTGCTATCTGCACTTAGCTGCATAGCCCTTAAGACAAATAATTAAATGTGACTCGTATTCCTCTGGATGGATGGCAGCCTTAGTTCCTTGCATTCCATTTCCAAATGAATGATAAATAGTAACTAGACTTAACTCACAGTACTGATCTTCCTTTTGGAAAATGTGGATTAAATATAGGTTGAGATGATGCCATCAAAGAGCGATGTCACATACCTGCTATTCACATGCTCCATTATAATACAATTCCATCATGAAAGCACTTTCATAGATTGGAATTAAATTACATCCATAATCTATTCTGCTCTGATATTACACAGCAGCTCACCAACAGCTTACTGTTACTGTCACTTCTGTGGATTGGTTGGAACTTAGCTTCTGGTTAATTCATTTCAAGCATGTCCTGCAGCCCATGAAGAAGGTCAACTTTACCACAGAAGTGGCCATTAGCATAACAGAAGCCAAGCCTTGCATTTTTCATGGTGCCCTGCTAAATCACCCTCATGCAAAAGGGAACTGAAAAGGTCAGACTGAACTGTCAAGGAGCAGCTTCCCAGTTGGACTGTTTACTGCTACACTTCTATGGAAAAAGAACCAAGCACGAGCCGTGAGGGACCCACCTCTGAAATGAAATCCCCCGACTTAATGCAGTAAAATAATAGATATTGCTCAAAAGGCACAGCAGAACTATCAGCAACTGGACAGCTGAGGCAAGTACTTGAAATTCAGAATTCAGTCCTGAAGGGCCTACCAAAACTATTACATATGCTGCATTTCTTTGAAATGCTGACTGAACTGTCCATGACCAGGGTTATTTTAATATTTGCAGTATTTTATAATCTTATTATTCAGAGGGCACAATGCCACTCTAAAGAGAAGTGAACATCTGTAGATCATCAAATGAAAATAGTTCTTTGTTTGGCATATCTCCCCCAATACTGTTAAGGACAACATCAGGTAGAAGCCTGCAGAAAGACGTAGACAATTTCTGCCTCTACCAATGTGAGGCTTCTGAATAGGCTAGGCTCCCCTTCCTGTTGCAATTTTATTTTGTTGAGTGCTGCTATTCATTCTCAACATTGTTCTGATGGCTAGAAAGACTTGAACCCGCAGTCGTGGGGTTTCAATCCTTCTGCCTGCAGTTGATGGTCTCTCCAAGTGCTTCCAGCACCTCACGCTTGTAATCGTCAAAGTTGCCGTCAATCTGGTTTATTGTCTGTTCCTCCACTACCCAGAGCTGGCAGTTAGTCTCAGTGATCAGCCGGGCATCGTGGCTCACAATAATTACAGCTGTGCAAAGAAAATGCAAGTATTATTACAGCACAGGCCATGTATTGGAGTACAAGTCAATGGTAAATTAATGCGAGCAGTCTTGCGCTATTAACATGCTAGATTGCAGTAGGGGCATGGATCAGTTTATGTTGAATTAACACAGCACTGCATGCTAGTATAATCTTGCGCATTATACCGATAAATGCAGTGTATCAGTATTGGCCTGTGTAGGATAACACAACTGGTGTCGCTTTTACTTTAGCCGAGGTCCTGTTCATAATTCACTAAATCCTGTGAATGATGAGGACAGAACTTTGCTTGTCTGATATTCAAAACAAAAGCTCACCAATTAGAAATAACCACAGCTTTTGAGGCAGTGGGTGGGTGGCTGTGTGAAGTCAGGGTAAAGAAGGGGTTTGCAGATTGCAAGAGTCACAGATGAACCAGTTACTGACAGTACTGGCTCACAAAATGATCAGCTGGACATGACACAAACTTTGAGACCACACCACAGAAAGATGCTGCACCTTCAGGAGAAAATGTGGACATAAAACTTTATGAAGGATACAGAACAGATTCATCAGAATGGTACCAGGAATGAAGGACTTGTACAGAAATAGTTTTCAAATCAGTCTGTCACGGCACACTGGTGTGGTGTGAGAACTGTCCGAGTGTGCAGTGTTCCATTTTAAACAATAATCTGGCCAACCAAAATTACAACTCAAAGCTCATGCAAATTAACTAAATCAAAGTTTTGATTCTAAAACATAAACATTCTAAATACATGTGGCTGAAAGACAAAACTGAGATGACGACGTGAAAAAGGGGTGTGCTGTGCAACTGTTTGTCTCACTGAAGTGTGACATGTTACTGGTTGGGAACCACTGTTGTAGAGACAGGAGAAGCTATGATTGCTGTACAGAGATGTTATAGAGGCTATTTGATAGATGTTCACAATGATCAGAATAAATAAGGAGAAACCTGATACAATAACAACAACTTTCAAAAATAAACGTTTGGATATTTGGAAGATAAACTTCACTGGACTATAGGAAAGAATGGGAGCTAATTGCACGACTCTTCCAAGGAATTAGTATGGGCTTTGTAGGTCAAATTGTTCTAGATTTAGAAACGGAGTTTAAAAGAGGTTGTTTCTACTGCAGTGAGGCAAGAAACACAAATAACCCCGCATTAGATTACTCCTACCCTCTGACAGCACAGGGCAGACTCACCTCCTTTGTAGACATTAATTGCATCAGCCAAAGCATCAATGGACTCAATGTCCAGGTTGTTTGTGGGTTCATCCTGCAATAAAAATGGATTTGTTAACATTTCCTTAAAATGTAAACTGGATACAATTCCACATGCAAGGAATAGGTACAAATAGGTACAACTACTTCTACACAGATCTTTGAGATGGTTGGTGGGGGAATGGGGAAAGAAAACAGGTGATGGGAAGCAGTGGACCACTTGGTTCCGCTTTCACTCAATATCACAAACTTGTTATCCTTTCCAAATACTAGCTAGGCTCAAAGCTGGAGACTGTTCGTGAAGGTAGTGAAGAATCCTACCTCTAGATCTGACAATATCCAATCATCAGGCTGCAGTTGTATTAACTTGTATCACAGCTGAAGACTTTTCCATGTGGAGTTTAGTTAGACAGCTTGCAGTCTCTCCCTCACCATGTGTATGAAGTAAACATTGTACTAAAATGCTGAACCTGGACCTGAGGGAAGTCCATTCAGAGAAGTTATCAAGAATTCTGTATTTCACAGGACTAACTTCAAGAGAAGCTTACATTTCTGCTATTGGGTCTCTCTAATGCCAGTATAAGCAGATTCAAAAGGATTTCTTGATATTTGTTACTCAGACTGAAAGCTCTCAGAATAATCTAATTTCTCTAAATTGGTCCCTTGCTGCACTCAGTCAACACAGTCTAGTTACAAATCCTTCCTCTGAACATATCCATACCAAAAGTATAAGCTCCCTGAATCATTGTGCCTAGTGAGCACTAAAAAAAAACACACCGGAGTTTGGTGAAGTTTGCGTTTGGTTAGCTGTCAGTCCAGTGTTATTGTAAAAGTGGTACAATTGCCCACAATACACCTGACTTAGTGAGTAATCATTATTCAGTGACTTGAGAATGTATTTATATACTTAATATTCCTTAAGTACAAAATCAGCAATGTCATGAAACTCCATATGACTGACATTTCGTAAAACTCACTAAAGGCTTATCCGAGAAGAAAGACCACTTAGTTGAGTGCCTGAAGGGCTACTGTTGTGTGGGGAACAGAACCCAAAACAGATTAGCACACCTTTAGGAAACTAAATTCTTTGCAATTAAAAAAATAGTACTGGCCCAGTTACTCACCAGAATTAGTACGTCAGGCTGTCGGCAAGCTAATTCTGCAAACACTACTCTTGCTTTTTGACCACCTGTATGAAAAAGAAAGTGATATAAGCAACAAGACCACAGACCATGAGGAGTTGAGCATGATCACAGAGTTCAAAGTGTTGTGTATTAGCCACACAGCTCAACTTACTAATTGATGACAGTTGACCACTTGTGATTTCTTCTGCACAGATTTTAAAAAGATCAGTTGACAACTCAAAAGTGCCCATGTAACTCTGCCACTCCCTCAAGCTGAGAAATAGAGAGCAGGTTTGGGTGAAAATTTACACTATCACCCCGTTTTTGACATGGATTGAGTTGTTCAGCTAGCAAATTAGCTACATTCAGCTGAGATATAAAAACTTCCAGCTTGAATTTCTTCAACCAACTATAACAGCTCTTTAAACGTCCTGGCTACAGTTGAACAGTCCGAAACAATTGAGCAGATCCTATTCACAAAGTTAATTCAAAACAACCAGTGCCTTTGTTGCCACTATCAGTTGACTGGAAGAAAATAAATGACTTATTGCTCCCTCTCCCAGGCAGCCTCTCTCACTCAGTACCTGAGAGTTTGCTGATTTGGATGGTGTGGGCGTGGCTCTCCAAGCCAAAGCGCCCAAGACATTTCCTCCCATCCTGGTATGGCAGGTTGAAGTTTCTCATGAGATACTCTGTTGCTGTCTCCTCCATGTTGAGTTGGTCCGCATACTGTTGGTTGAAGTAACCTATTTTCTGTGTGTGGGTGGGAATTGAGAAAAAAAAACTTAAGGAAAAATACAACGTAAACGCTTCTTCAAGTAAAGTCCCCATGTAGAATAATAAATAAACTGAAATAGACATAGTATGCCATAGTTCAACATTACACCACTACATGCTCAACATCTTTCAGGTTTCCAAACTTCCCCTCCACCTTATTGGGCAACCCCATCACTGGGCTAAGTTTCCATTTGTCACAATAATATGGCTGTGCTTTTATGTATGAATGAAGTATTTGCACAAAGCTTCAAGGAGAAGTGCAGTCATCTCATCTAGTTCTCGTCTGATAACATCCAAACTGGACATCTCTTCTAGCAAGAGTCAAAGAATGCTACTAAGGAGCAGTATTCCTGGTTGATTCTCCCTCCTGTTGACTCTGGGCACTATTGTCAATGACTGTTCAACGTCAAGCCAACTAAACAACCCATGCTGTTTAAAGGGTTCAGTGGTTTATGAACTATCACTTCTGTAATGCTTATTTGTGAAGCCAAGAACACGAGTCAGACATACCCGTCCAACATAAAAACACAACTGGAGATGTTAGCATCAGGTGAGAGTGTAATTAAGGAGCGGGATGGTTAACTGAATGAGACAGGTGACACTGTCAGTCTTGCAGAATGATTACCATGTCCAAAAGTTGCCAAATTTGCAAACGTGAAGCAACAAACTATTTAAAACATAATGAATTATTTCCGTGACAGTAGCTAATACACGAGAACAGACACTTACCAATCTGTGGTTCTTTCTCTGTTCACCAGCAGTCTGAAATCAAAGAAAGAGGGAATTTGATTCTACTGAAGTCACACATATGATACTAATGCAATGTTACTACAATTATCAGCACAGAAATGGGCCATTTGTGCCAATTAGGCTAAGCTGGTGTTTATGCACACAGAACACTCTCTCTCTAATATTTATCCAAATATCCAGCAACGGCAAGAATACTACTGTGACATACAGACTGATGAGAATACAGTCCACACACTAAGAATAGCTGATTTGAACCAGTTGGAAGGATCCTTAAAAATCAACGGTTGTATTTGCAGGATGTAGAGTGTTTGATTGGTGTTGGTGGTGGTGGGCAGTGAAGTGAGAGAGACAGAGGAAGAGAGAGAAGATGAGAATACATCGTGGACATGAGGTATATTATAAATGTAAATGTACCTCGCTTAAAAGGCATGGCCTGATAGCAACTCGGGTGCTGCGCAAGAGTTGTAGTTTGGTGAATTCTCAGTCTTGGCTAGGGCCATTGACCCAAATGGAAGAATCACATCGCTGTTGATCTTTATAAAATTCGTGGTTATATTACAGTTCTAATAAACTAGGACCAGTGAACATATGTGTAAACGCCACCATTTTGAGAACTTTAATTCAGCTTAAAAGAATCAACTAGAAGTATGCATGCACAAAGTGGCTGACTCTTCCTCAATAGTCATCTGAAATAGTCCGGTTCATTCACCTGTATCAATGGTTGACTGGACAGCTGGTTTGAGATGCAGAGCAATACCAACAGCATGGGTTCAATTCCTGCACCAGTACAGATCAACAGGAAGGACTCTCTGTGGCATAGTTACCCCCAGGTTAAATCACCACCATCATCCCTCTCTTTCTGTCTCTCATGAGAGAGCAGTCCAATCATGTGGACAGGTACAAACGTAGGAAAGGTTTAGAGGGATATGGGCTAAACACAGGCAAGTGGGACTAGTTTTGTTTGGGAAACTTGGTCAGCATGTATGAGTTGGACCGAAGGGTCTGTTCTCGTGCTGTATGACTCATGAATCTACTGTCTGGAGTACAATAAGGCAAACCACAACCATCTGATCAAGATAACTAGACATTATCAGGAATTGCAAGTTTTACCAACATGCTGAGAATAAAAACAGTATCAGTATGTAACTGAGATTAAGTGACAGTGAGTGACACAACTGTGTAACAACTTACAGGGGTCAGCTTTCCAGTGAGCAGGAGCAGCAAAGTACTTTTTCCAACTCCATTGGGTCCAACAATACAGACTGAAAGGTGGGAGAGAACAGAAGCAATAATTACTAGGGACTTTCTAAGTTGCAGGGAACATTCTGTGTGTCAAAAGGACTCACTTTGCATCCCTTCAACAGATTCTGACATCAGAAAACATTCAAAACTAAAATACTGTAAAACAGTACCACTAAACGACAAACTTTAGAGCAGATATCAATTATCACAAATATACTTCATTATGATGCACTAATATCAAGGTAGCATTCTAATAGGAACTCAGGATAAATACATATACACAATTCAAACAAACGTACTTAGATTTCAGCCTACAAGTCTCTCCCAGATATGTTACCCTATATATTTGAGCCTCCTGAATAGATTTCAGCATACAACTGTGATGAACTGTGTATAATTTAATAAAACCATGGTTGGAGTTTGGATTTCATAATAATGGCAAATAGGCGTTGGTTACTTTTCAGCAGGTCTTTACTTCAAACATTAGGGTCAGACAGCCATCTGGAACAGTGACTGCATCAAATATGTGCCAGAGAGCAGGTGACTACAAACCTGGGATGTTAATGAAGTGATGTTTATACTGTTGGCTTATGACAGGTAAAGTAAACATATAAGGCCATTAGCTTTGTTTTCTGCTCAGAAGAGACCAGTGTTGAGTTTAGAAGCTAATTTAGTTTCTCTCCTACGCGTATTTCAAGCTCCAATTACGTCAGCAGAGTTCACAGAACTTCTACAAAAGAGTCTGGTTAGAAACATGCAGGTTATTAGACATGAGGATGTTTTGGGTCTCAAAGGAGGAAATCCACACAAACACGGGAAGAACAAAGTTCTTCCTATCAAAAAAGGAGATAAAACGAGCAATTGAGGTTCACTGGGCTCAGGAATGGCAGGACTGTCATATGGAAGTGAGATTGGTTCAACTGGGCCTACATTCACTGGAGTTTAGAAGGATGCACAGAAATCTGCATGAAATGTACAAAATTCTAATAGTCATAGACAGACTAGATGCAGGAACAATCTTCACCTGCCTGGGGAAATCGAGAACTAGGCGCTACAGTCTCAGGACACAGGGTAGGCCATTTAGGACTGAGATAAGAAAACATTTCTTCACTCAGAGGATGATCAACCTGTGGTATTTTCTACTACAGAAGACTGTGGAGGCTGGGTCACTGAGTATATTCAAGAAAGAGGTTGATACATTTTTAGCTATTAGAGGCATCGAGCAGAATGGAATCATACTGAACTGCAAAGCAGGCTCAAACAGCCAAATACCCTGCTCCTAGTGTCCATTTCTACATGCTCCACAGAAGATAAAACTTTTAAATAATTACTTTCAGATACAAATTTATTCTTTTAAACATCCTTAGCAGTTTATAAATGGAAAATTAAAACAGACACTCACTTCTGGAATCCATGTCAATACCAAAGTCCAGGTTTTTGAAAATTGGCTTCTGGTTTTCATAAGCAAAATCAACAGCTGCAATTTCAGACAAAAATAGTGCATTAAGTATATTCAATGCTACCAACATTAGAGTCACAACACAGAAACAGGCTCTTTGGTCCAACGAGTCCATGTTTCCAAACTAAACTAGCCCCACATCCTCCAAACCTTTCCTATTGATGTATTTATTCAAATATCATTTAAATATTGTAACTCTACCTGCATCCACAACTTTCTCTGGAAGCTCATGCCACACACAAACCCCTGTGTAAAAAAATTGACCCTCATTTTTAAAAAAAAAGACTCTCTCCTCTCACCTTAAAAATATGCACCCTAAATTTGAACTCCCCCACCCTAAGGGAAGGCCCTTGCTATTCCCCTTACATCCTTGTGCAGAGGAAAGCAAGAAGGGTGACTGTAAAGAGTAAAAGGGAATGACACAAAGACTTGAAAAGCTTAAACATGACATCTAGAAAGAAGACAGTTGAAGACAATTTCATTCAGGTCAGCAGCACACAAGATGATTTAAAAAAAAACAAATTTCAAGGTCAACAGGATAAGAATGCACAAGTTAAAACTTGGGAAAGTTTAAACAAGATTTTGGGGGATAACAGAATTGAAAATTTAGAACAACTCAAAAAATGTACAGCAGTTGAATTAAGACTTTAGGTAATTGAAGATTATAGTTGGACATTAAGCTGGGCAAGCTAGAGTATGAAGGAGTTCAACAGGATAAATGGTCTTTCTCCATCCCTTAATTTTTGTTGTCTGCTCATTTTCAAGACAGTCATTAAACACAAAATAACTAACCTACTGCAAAGCAGAGCATGCAACATTTTGGTCTTTGATGCCAACTTGGTTCAGTTGGCAACATTCTCTTCTCTAGAGCAAAAAATCATGAGTATAAGCCACATTGAGGTTTTGTATTTGTAACAATGGTGAAATTCTCAAGTGTTCACCATTATTATAAACAGCAAAACCAACAATTTCTGACACCTTCACATGTGCAATTGCACATGGAAATCCAGAAGTTGTTGCTCGTGGCTCTTTGCTCAGGCACACAGTATGTATTATTCATGTCCTTGATCACAAATTGCTCAACTCAAATGAACTTCCCCTTTTAGGCTGTAGTATCATTGAGGGTTTCAAGATGTTTTAAAAGACTTACAAAGTCACAATTAGTAAGCAACTTTTCTGGCCCTGGAACATCACATTCATCTATTTTGACAGAATAATACTGTTGTATATCCTGCCTGACAATATCACTGATGCCAGAATGCCTGCAGACCACATTGCCTTGGCACCAAACTTGGATTAGTGTTGTTTGGAAAGGCAAAAATCACATCACAGGGATCATTTGATTTTTATGGGCAGCTTTCTTCAAGATCAGCAGCAAGTATCATCATTTCACTGCTGACCATAAATTACAATGTCAGTGCACGAGCATCAAGTTTTTTTTAGACATGGCATCTTTTGGATTAAAGTCTGTTCATTTCGATGCTCACAACAGATCCCATGAAACCATGTGAAGAGGAATTAAGTCTCTGATATTGTGGACACAATTTCTGCTTCTCCTGCCTCTACCAAAATCAAAATGCTTTGTCACTACCAAAACATTATTCTTTAGGAAACTTGACACGTGCCAATTAATTGCTGCATTTGCAGACCAAAAAAAAGTGCTGACTTCGATTTAAAATAATTATCTATAATGAAGCGCTTTGAGATAATCGGTGTTACAAATGGAAGCCCGAGCAATGTTCACTGCATTTCCACTCCAGCTGAAAGCCATAAGCCCCTATAAGAAGCAAAAAGTAAAATTTAACTCCTAGACCATGTTTTAAACTTAGCTAACGGCCATTGCTAGAGAATCATAGGAAAATACAAGGGGAAAGAGGTATCCCAAACTCCCATACAGCACTACTTAGAAAAACATAGTAGGACACCTTTCATCTATTCAAATTCTTACCATGCAGGCCAAGAATTGGAGGGCTCAGCGGGGGAGGGTTTGGGAATGTAAACTTTACAGTGTATTCTCGAGGCTTTTTCAGAAGTTCCGGAGCCTCGTTTGACTCCTCATCCTGGTTCTTTTTCCGACATTTCTGCTGTTTGCGTGTCAGGGCCTCCTTTGTTTGTTTCTCCTATAAAGCAGAAATTGGTTGGAAGAAGAGAAAAAGCAGATGATGAACCACAGGTGAAATGAGAAATGAACCGTCTGTCTACCTACTGAGGATAAAAGACAAAAAACATTCATTCTTTCAATTGTCTAATTGAACAACAAAACAAGAATAAAAATTACCAATGCATTAAAACTGTACATTCAGCAATGCTCTAATCTAATAGCAGAGCAGTTGCAAACAAGTTAAACCATCCACTGCTTTAACTACAATCCTTCAAGCCCTACATTTAAAATTGATTTGATTTGCCTACCCCAAACTCTCCAAGGCAGCAGCTGTGTCTCTCAGACTGGGACAGTACCATTTTCAATCAATTACTTAATCGTTGCACACTCCAGTTGGCCATTGCTACCCCCAGCGGGGACAAAGAATAAAGTAAATAAATAGGTTTCAACTCCTGAATGTTAACCATGAAAAGACTGGGTCCCATTTTCATCATGTTTCAATGTGCATACACGACCACTCTCCTAAGTTCTCTCCTACATTCCTTTTGATTAATAGCATATAGTCAATGAAATTACAAGTTTTTCACACCATTATTTGAATATTATTCATTACTTTGAAAAATAAATGGATTGTCCAGCTCAGTGTTTCTCAAGTAACAGAGCATTCCTCCAACAAGACGATACACTTTGGATCGAGATTGTAGAGTCATTTTTACAGTCTTTAACTTCAGTCACTGTGTCATAGGGGCTCCTACACCATCAGAGAATGATTTAAAAAAGTATGTAGAGTCACAGAGCTCGGAAACAGACCCTTCAGACCAACTTGTCTGCACTGACCAGACATCCCAACTGACCGACTCCCATTTTCAGCATTTGGCCCATATCCCTCTGAACCCTTCCTATTCATATACCCACCCAGATGCCTTTTAAATGTTTTAATTGTACCAGCCTCTACCACTTCCTCTGGCAGCTTGTTCCATCCATCTACCACTTGCTGCGCGAAAAAGTTAGCCCTCAGGTTCTTTGTAATTCTTTCTCCTTTCTATGCCCTCTAGTTTTGGACTCCCCATGGATAGGAACCCTATTCATGCCCTTCATGATTTTACAAACATCTCTTAGGTTTAGCCTCAGCCTATTTAGCCTCTCCCTATAATTCAAACCCTCCAGTCACAGCAACATCCTTGCCAATCTCTTCTGCCTCCTTTCAAGTTTGACAACATCCTTCCTATAAAAGGGTGACCAGAATTGTACGCAGTATTCCAGAAGTGGCCTCATCAAAATCCTGTACAGCAGCAACAATGACATTCCAACTCCTATGCTCAATGCACTGACCAATGAAGACAACGAAGATCTATTTCAACCCAATTATTGAGAAATAAAGCTGGATAAAGAACACTCCAAGCTTTTGCAGTATTAGCTTGGAAGAAGGGAAGTTGCTCATTTGAATCAACAAAATGAAAGGGGAATAGAATTACGAGAAAGAGAGAGTGTATTGTTTCCATCATGCAATGGATCTCCCTGAAGTGCTCAGAAAGGAAAATATGGCTCAACTGCAACTTAAAAGTAGGGAGGCTGACAGCACAAGCATAGCCATAGGGCTCGAGGTAAAGTAGAGTATTTTCAGCAAATACACGGAATGTCGACCTTATCATTATGGATTTCATCACCTATAAGTAGCAGGTGACTCAGTGCAGCATGAGTGTTGGTTTACCATCTCAACCATAGGACAACATTGTGACAACACAGCACTTACTCCATACTGCAGTGAAGTGCATGCCTTGATTTTACAAGGTCAAGTCCTGGGATGAGGGGAATACAGCAATTTGTATTTACATGGCACCTTTACTTAATATAATATGTTCTGTTATAAGAAGGGAATTCCAGCACCTTAAGGCCTAGATAGCTAGAACCACAGCAGACAATACTGCATCATAGATTTCCTCTGTTGCATGAGAAGACAGAACAGGAGTAATGCAGAAGAGTTTCAGTCATGAAGAGAGATTGGATAGACTGGGGTTTTTTAACCTTTGAGCAGCGGGAACTGAGGGGAGTGAATGATTGAAACGTATAAAATTATGAGAGGCATATACAGAGTAAACATGAAGAAACATTTCCCATTGGCAGATAGATCAATGACCAAAGCACATAAATTTAAAGTAAGGGACAGAAAGGTTTACAGGCGATGCAAGGAAAAATTCTTTCAACCAGAAGATGGTTGGGAACTTGGACATTGTTGCTTGTAAGGGTGGACGCAGAAATCCTTATAATATTTGAGCAGTATTTAGATGTGCCCTGCGCTGCCGAGACACACGGGGCTACAAGCAAAGTGCTGGAAAATGCAATAATAGTTAGGTACTCGTTTTTGACCGGCACAGACTTATTGAGCCGAAGGGCCTTTTTCTGAGCTGTAGACCTCTCCGTTACCTAATGATCTACCCCATCACAAAGAGACCGAAGCCACCCAATCTGCATTACTCTGTCAGAATCACATACCGCTTGCTTAGTTGACTTGCCTCCCGCCTTTAGATCTTTAAGTCTCTTTTCCTGTTTCTCATAGAGTTTCAGCAGTTCCTTTTGTTTCTGTTGGTACATCTTCTTAAAGGTATCTGGTTTAGGCACAAAATACACAGGAATTAAAAAAGCCAGAGTCAGTCCTCCTCAAAAAAGAATCGACACATGCACACAAATACTGTGCAAGTAGGAGGAAGCTTTATGTTCCTTTAGGAGATGTAGGTCACATTTACCCACAGCTGCACAATAGCGATGCTATGAGCCCCATGATAGTAAGTTTAATGAGAAAGGGAAGACAAGGAATAATGTGTAAAAAAACAACTGCACGTAGTTTCCTTTAAGCACAGAGTTTGTAGGAGGGGGAGCAGGCGATCCATTTTGCATTTAACATGACATGGGACATGAATAACATGATCCCTCACAGCTTCTCTTTCCCACTAGTCAAGCTTGAATTATTCAAGTCAACTGTAACCATTTACCAATCTGAACACAAGTCCTCTTTAAACCTACGCACATAACACTTTTAATGTAATACAAGATTTCAAGGCAGTTTACACAAGCATAAATCAGAGAAAAAAAATGAACTACGTTAAATGAGGAGTCTAGGACAGGTTCCCAAAGGCTTGGTCAAAGAAGTATATTTAAAGTGAGCCTTGATGAAAAGAAAGGCAATTAGGCTAAGAGGCTCAGAGTTTAAAGGCCCAGCTAGCTGAAGAAACTGCTGAGTAAAGGGAGAGTAAAGAAAACTGGAATGAACAAGAAGTCAGATCTGGAGAGCACAGGGTTGGAAGCCTGGACAACTAGGGAGGAGGGGAAGTAACGTCTGCAAATGCACAGCGATATGCTTGAGAATATAACCCTGTACCTTCATGTACCAATGAACTGCAATCCTAATGCCCACAGTCATTTTAACCAGTGGTGATCTTTGAATCGGTACTGCATTGATGATTTAGATCGAGTCTTGCAATAGACCGCAAGATATAAGAAAAGAATTAGGTCATTCGGCCCATCAAGTCTGCTTCACCATTCTCATGGCTGATGTATTTCTCAATCTTATTCTCCTGCCTTCTCCCCATAACAATAATCTTGATCCCTTTCGTATTCAAGAACCTACCCATCTCTGTCTTAAATACACTCAATGACTTGGCCTCCACAGCCTTCTGCGGCAAGGAGTTTCACAGATTAATCTCCCTCTGGCTAAAGAAAATCTTCCCAGCTCAGGTCTAAAGGCTCATCCCTTCACTCTGAGGCTGTGCCCTCAGGTTCTAGTCTCTCCTGATAATGGAAACATCTTTTCCACATCCACCCTATCCAGGCCTCTTAATATTCTGTAAGTTGTCCCCTCATTCTTCTAAACTCAGAATCCACAACCGCTCCTCATATAACAAAAAGCCTTCATCTCCATAATCATTCTTGTAAACCTTCTATGGACCCCCTCCAAAACCAGCACATCCTTCCTTAGAAATGGGGCCTAAAACTACTCACAATATTCCAAATACAATCTGATCAGAGCCTCGTTCAGCGTCAGCAGTACATCTCTGCTCTTGTATTCTAGCCCTCTTGAAATGAATGTTATCATTGCATTAGCCTTCCAAACTACTAACATGTTAATCTTGAGAAACTTGCACTAGGACCCTCCATCCCTTTCCCATTTACGGAATAATTCAGCTTTAGGCAGCTCCTGTATAAAATCTGATATAAATCATATGCATCGATATTTCCACAAAGTGTTCTCTCCCATCTCCCACCAATTTCCTCAGACTTCTGCCTGGTATTGCCTTGATTATTATTTACCATGATACAAAGATGAAGATCCAAAGCTACATAAAGACAAGACATTGAAAGGTACTGGGTTAAAACAACCAAGTTTCTAGATATATACACACACGTTGACAGACCAGGTGCAAACTGGATGACTGCTTTGTAGAACGCCACTGCACAGTCTGCTCTATAACCCCTATCTTCTGGTTGCTTTGTATTTCAATACACTACTCTGCTTTCATGCTCTCATTTGTCCTAGACCTGCTTCAGCGATCCAGTGAAGACTGGCATAATCAGGAGGAACAGTATCTTATTTTTCAATTAGGCCCTTCAGAGTCTTCAGGACTTAATGCAGTGGAACAATTTCAGTCCGTAAATTCAGTCATCCAGTTTGAGATTTTTCTCCCCTTCCCATCTATCATCTTGTTCTCATGCTTTTGCCTCCTTATTTACATCAGTTGTGGATCTACGCTTTGGTTCTTCTCTACAAGCATGGCAATTAATTTTGTCTTTTGTTCTTTGACATCTCTGATCTCTAATCTCCCTTGCCCTCTCATCTTCTCTTTCTGTTCTACTTCACTCTTATCAACAGTAAAAAATCCATCACTTTCCCACCTCTCCAATTCCACAGAACACTCAAATTGAACTCAAAACATTGATTTTGTTTCTTTCTACAGATGCTGTCAGATCTGAGTTTCTCCAGCACTTTGTTTTTGTTTGGATGCAATTTCAATTGCTGGGGTTCAGGGTGTCAGGGTAGGGTGGGGGTGTCCCTCTCTGTTCAATTTATTAATTTTGAATCTCTGCAGTTGAGTGAGGAGTAAATGCATTGAGAAGGCTTCATAAATATCAGAGAGGCTAGAAGGGCCATTAGCTATTGTTTGTATGTATTAGCCAATGCAAACAGACGGCTCGGCGGGATTAAAGTTGATTTTCTCATCAAAACGTCGATCCACGTCTACTTCACCAAATGGCCATCAAGCAATAATCAAGGCTTCGTGGGCCCCGCCTCTGCTCTATATTAAGGTGTTTATATTGTATCAATGCCCTTCCTTAGTCAGTAAATCCAAGGGGAAAATGACTCAGCTTCTTGTTGGAAAATCAAATGGAAAAACAGAAAATACAAGAAGCACCAGCAAGAGAGAGAAACACTGAATATTTGTTGATGGATTTAAAGTCTTTCTAGCACTATCTGCTTTTCTTTAGCATTCCCAGTGCTTTCCATTTGTTTTCGCATTTGCAATTTTTCCCCATTTTTGTTTTGGCTCAAGGTCCTTTACATTTCCCTCTTGTGTATAAGTTCCTCCCTTCTAATTTACATTGACTGAAATATGAACCTTGCACTACAATGAATCAATGGTGTGTATTTTTAAAATTGATGCCTGTAAAACTTCTTTACATCCTTTTTAATTCCCTTCCCTGGGATGTTGGGCCAGAATTAATTGTCAATCCTCAAATTCCCTTGAAAAGGCGGTGGCGAACTGCCTTTTCGACCACTGCAATCCATTTGCGATAGAAACATCCACAATGCTGCTGGGGAGGGAGTTCCAGGATTTTGAACCAGTGACACTGAAGGAACAGTCATATATTTTCAAGTCACGATACTCATAGAAGGACCAGATGTAGGCTATTCTACCCATCAAGTCTTCTTCAACAATGAGCTCATGGCTGATCTGATATCCTAAAGTCTGCTTTCCTTACATTTCCATAACCCTTGATTCCCTTATCAATTAAATCAGTAAGTCCATGTCAGCCTCTACATCCATCTGTAGTAAGGTATTCCACAAATGGCTTCTCATTCCTGTTTTAAAAGGGTAACCTCTTATTCTGAGAATATGCCCTCTGGTCCTAGACTGTCCATTAAGGAAAAATGACTTTTCTGCACTTAGTGAGGTAAGTCCCAAACAATCTTGTTATGTTTCAACAATGATGAGTGACCCGAGGGTGTGGTTGCTTCCAACCGTTTGCTGCCCTTTTTGTTCTAGACTGCAGTAAGTGGGTTTGGACAATGCTGTCTAAAGAGCTTTCGTAAATTTCTGCAGTGCATCTTGTAGACGGTACACACTGCTGCTACTTAGTGTCAGTACTGACAGGGTGAATACTTGTGGCAAAACAGCAGACCACTTGGTCCTGGTTGGTGTCAAGCTTCTTGAGTGTTGGAGGTGCTGCATTTACCCAAGCAAATGTAAGGTGATCACCTTTGAATCAAATAAGGAATCTTTAACCAGTTTTCCGAACATGTAATCCAATACACAGTATTATTCCTGTTATAGTTCCACTTACTGTAGTTCCCTCTGTAGTAAAAGAGCTTTTGTGCATCCAGGTGAATGATATCTGAACAGACATCATCCAGGAAGCCCTGGTCATGGGACACAATTAGCAGAGTTTTCTTCCAGGTTTGAAGGTAACTGAGAATAAGAGACAGCAAGTAAGTACAGTTCAAAGACACATAATGAAGACTAGTTCAGATGAGCTGTGGGGGTGACTCAGTAAATTACCAAGTCAAATGATGTAAGCCCTCACCCAACTCCCTCTTGCCCTCTCACAATGCTACCACTGTTCTATGTTGTTGACATGGGTGTGCAGTGTAAGTGAAAAAATTAAGTCCCACAAGCTGAGATAGTCTATTCCTATCAATAATCAACCAATTTCAGAAAGTTCATACAATGATGATAATTTGGTAGTCCAGTCAGAATTGGTTTGATGAAAAATGTCTGGATTTGCCCAATTTTATTTCACACTGAAAATCTTCCAGTTTACTTGGAATTAAATCAAAGGTCTCAGTGATGTTGGCCATCAGAAGAAAGTCTTCACGTAAATTGCAAGTCAAACAAACAAAAACGATATCTGCACACCAACACTTCTTAATTTTAAAAAGTTTTGAATAGCTCAAATGGGCATATAATTTAAACACTATTCCTGTTAGGAAGAAACAGATCCAATCGTTAGCTTGACTTCATTGTGATGTTTCACAATTCCTTCTGTAGGTGCTTGGCTGAGGTTCAAAGGATAGAAGATCACTACCATTGGTCCTGGTTGGTGTCAAGCTTCGAGTGTTGGAGGTGCTGCATTTACCCAAGCAAATGTAAGTTGATCACCTTTGAATCAAATAAGGAATCTTTAACCATTGCTTTCTGACGTGGAGTCAGCTCACATACCCACTGCTGTAGCAGTGGCTGATAACTCTGGAGCCACATTGAAAGCTCAGTTGAAATGGGCATAAACCAAAGACCACGACACTCTTGTGTCACCTGCAGCGACTTGGGTTCAACTCAGGAATTCTGGCCAGAGTCTGAAAACATTAAAGACGAGATTTTCCTATATTCCTATAGCAATTCCGTTGATTTTCTCCCATACAAGGTTTGTGGATGGATGATCTGAGTTTAAAGAGATTTGTGAATTGAAAGTTTGAAATTGCAAAACAGCACAGTAGATCTTTGAACCTGCACTATTTACATCACACTTACTTGTTAAGCCAAATGACTGCATTAAGGTCCAGATGGTTTGTGGGCTCGTCCAACATCAGTAATGTGGGTTCCATAAACAGGGCTCTGTAATGCACAGGGAACCACAACAAGGAACACATCACAAAGATTATCATTGATTGAAACCATTAGGCTTCCTGCCGTCTCTTCCTTCAAATCATTAAGCAGTAAAATGATTGTTTTTGGTTCAGCAGGTCAGCAAAGTCAGCATACAGCTTATTCCCTCCATCATCTGTAGAAGCAATCCTATCTATATGCTGCTCCCATCCTCACCTTCCCAGGATTATCGTCCTCATCTTTGTACTGCTTCCATTCACATGAACCAGAGGCAATCCTTATCCTTTTTATGCCTTCATCAGGCCCGACTTAGACAGTGGCAACTGCATTTCCTTTCTATTCAGAGACAGACATTCATTGATAATCCTCAACCACCCCAAAATGAAAACGTGCTCCCTCATGAAGCCTGAATAGGGGCAGCTTCTCATCATTTTTTAGCATGGACCTTTTATTCCCTGATCATAGCACCAAGTACCATCAACCACTCCTTCCTCACCAGTTCTTTGCTTACCTAGCCAGTGACACTCTCATTCGCCATCCTCCAGAGAATTTCTTAGTAGGTCGATTTTGCATCTCAGGAGTGAAGCCCAGACCAGCCAGGATACGACGGGCTTTAGCTTCTGCTGCAGCAGCACCTGTAGCTCGCAGTTCGTCGTATACCTACGAAAGGCATAGTAGATAATCACTATAGAGCTCTCAGTATTAGCTTCATAAAGGACTGCTCACTACTTACAAAATAGGGAAATGCAGGAAGACGGAAGCCCAATAGAGAAAATGGATGCAAAGGATCCTAGCAGACTTTAATCCTCAAAATTGTTTGCAAGAAGTCTTCCCTGGGTGGTCCTCTCCCAATACATTGGCAAAACAACCCACCATTAACCTGTACCCAAGTCTCCTGAGATTATTTTGTAAAATGACCTACCTTCAAAAAAGTCTCACTCTAAGTATAGCATCTCTAACAACATAATGCAGCTGTCCCTCAGTACTGCACAAATCTGCAATCTGTGCACAGGTCATGGAGGGAGGTTTTAAACACAATCTCATAACTGACTCTCAAATGTGTATGACAAAATCTGGACAGGAGATTTTTAAAAAGTTATTAATTTTTCCATGTCATGTGGATATCACTGACTTGCCCAACATTATCCCAGAGAATTGGTGGTGAGCTTGTCGTTTTAAACTACTGCAATCCTTGTAGTGTTGGGAAAACCCACTAAGTACTGTAAGGAAGGGAGTTCCAGAATTTTGACTCAGTAGTGGTGAAAGGACAGCAATATCATTCCAAATCAGGATGGTGTATGATTCAGGAGGACAATTTGTTCCCACATATTTGCTGCTCTTGCCCTATTATTAGGTGGTAGAGATCACCAGTTTGGAACATGCTGTTTAAGGCAGCTTGGAGAGTTACGGTGCAAGTCATGGCAGCTCAAATCATAATTTGTCAAATCAGTCAGACGAGGATGAAGAGTTTAGAAAAGATGACTGTAGCCTAAATGTTCACCTTTTGCAGTCTTTCACCAGCTTGATCATCTCCCTTCTCTAAGAGAGCCTGGAGCTGCCGTTCTTCTTCCAACAGTTTTAGCCGCTTCATATCGGCTTTCAGAACTGCGTTGACTGCTGCTGTGTCATCGGCCCTTACCTCTGAGGGTAAAACAAAAAAAAAATCAGCTCAATGATCACTTTCATTAATACAATACATATTTCTGTATCTCATCTCTCCTTCGCATTGTTTGTCAAACCTATTTCCCCCCTTTAGCAAGGAATGTGGCTTTTACTAAGCTTCTGTTTAAACAGTGCATATTCTTTCCAACTTGATGTATATATGAGTCAGACATCTGAAGTAGAAGACACTGCATTTTAAATGATCTCAAGGTAAAAAGGCACTGGTAGAAATGTTTATTGGAATATACTGAAACGTCAAGGGTCATTAATACAGGGGTGGATGGGAACAAGTTACCGTGGGACCCAAGCTGTTTGGGAAGGGGTTTTCTTCCTATTCTTTACTGGTATGTCGGTGTCACTTGTTACCATCCACTTGAAGGTGGTAGTGAGTGATATTCTTGAACTGCTGCTGTCATCAGGTAACTTTTCTATAGTAGTTTGGCAGACTAAGTGGCTTGCTTAGCCACTTCAGAGAAGAGTTAAGATCCGATCACACTGCTGTGGATCTGGAAGCACATGTAGGCCAGGCCACACACTGTAAATTGCCTTCTCTAAGAGGATATTAGGTCAGCCAAATCACTTTTTCCAATGACAATCAATGATTGTAATGGTGACCATGAAACTAAGTCTGGTTTTCAATTCCAGATTTATTAACCAAATTAAAATTCCACCAGCTACTGCGGTGGGATAAGAATACATATCCCTCAGACATTAGTCTAGGCCTGTGGATTGCTGGTCTAGTGACAATCTGATGGTAATCGAGAGCAAGACTAAGTCCGATTTCTCTCAGTTGTCATACATACAGTGAAATGAACTGACCCTTGTCAAACTTGGCTTACCTTGTTCACAGAGCAACACATCAATATTAGGAGGTATATTGAGCACTCGATTTTGGATGTGCTTTAGCAATGTTGTCTTACCCTTGCTGATAAAGAGAAGGCACAATGTTAGTGCTGTGTTCCTTTTGCCATGGCCAGAAGGCAAGACAAATCACAAAGAAAACTGTATTTTCTGTATTTTTGTGCTTAATTTCCACTCATTTTATAAATAGACAACCTTCCTGGACACAAAACAGCCGAGGCTGACGACATGAACATATTTCTAGAAGCTCCTAAACCCCTGCATTAAATAGACAAAAAAAGCCTGACACAAAGGACTTGGAATCAAGCTGTCTGCCTCCGACCATCAACAAAAGAACTAATTAAGACCTACTATGCTAGAAAAAGATATTTCTTTACACTGACCTCATCACCTCCCGGTGGACACTCTGATGGGTGAAAGCAAAGTTATACTGATAGCCCATAACGTGCCAATTAGCCCACTAAGATGGGTCCTCAGAATCTGAAATGCCTGTCCTTGTCACATGACTGAAATGATTGCATTTTATGTTTGTCACTTGCCTCCCCAAGACATGGACTTGGGGACAACATTCCATCCAACCCTTGAGTGTTTAGTTAATAACAGTTTGGTATTTTGGAAGAGGATATTTTGGAATATAGTCCACAACAGCGAAATTTCTGGTACTCCCAGAAGGCACTCATATACACTGAAATTTAAGGCATGGAATCAGAAGTTAAACTTCCCCTTTTCAAGTATTGCCGCTGTTTCTTTTACATCCATCTGAGGCAACAGTTTGGTGCACCTTTCACCCAAAAGGCAACACTTCTGACAACAGCGGTCCATGAGTATTGACCAGTGTCAACCTTATTGATATGTTCAAGTCCAAACATCTCAGTCTATCAGAAACAGGAACGGCCTTCCGCTCCCAGCTATCATACAGCACAAAGATCCATCTTCACTAACTGCTGGCCACAGACAAAACTGCTTGGCCTCTACTCAACATAATGTAAACTTATGTTATTCCACACATAACATACTGTAAATATTTAACCTAAAATTCTACTGTGAGGAGAGTCTCTGCCAAATTGAGAGCAATATTCAGAGCACTGGTGGCTTTAGTCTCAACAGGTGAAAACAAGATGAAGAGATGGATGAAAAAGATAGATTCAACTTCACAGCCACTTTCAGATTAATGGAGCTAGTCACTCTGAACAACTGATAATTGTAATTTCAGGTGTGGTAGAAATTCACACAACAGAATATTCCACATGACTACGCTCTCAGCTCACACATATAACGTTCACTTGGGCAAGCAATCTGAGAGGCACCAACGCTTATAAAAATGAAATCTATTCAGGAGTTGGCACTCTCAGGCGAGTGAAGGAGATAATGGAGTACAACAAAAAAAAAGTAAAATAAGGTCTGCAATGACAACAGATAGCTTTGTGTCATCAGAAAGATTCAGGGCTACAAATGCTGTTTAGAAAAATAAACACATTTTTACAGACCATAAGCCTATAAGATATATGAGCAGAATTAGGCCATTTTGGACCATTGAGTCTGCTCAGTCATTCAATCAGGGCTGATATCCCATTACAGTCAGAGACATATACGGAAAAAGACCCTTCAGTCAACTCATCCATGCTGACCCGATATCCTAAATAGATCTAGTCCCATTTGCCAGCATTTGGCCCATATCCCTCTAAACCCTTCCTATTCATATTCCCATCCAGATGCCTTTTAAATATTGTAATTGTACCAGCCTCCACCACTTCCTCTGGCAGCTCATTCCATACACGCACCATTGCCCAGGTGAAAAAGTTGCCCCTCAGGTCCCTTTTAAATCTGTCCCCTTAAACCCATGCCCTCTAGTTTTGGACTCTCCTACCCTGGGGAAAAAGACCTTGGCTATTCATCCTGTTCATGCCCCTCATGATTTTATAAACCGCTATAAAAGGTCACCCCTCAGCCCCCAAAGCTTCAGGGAAAATAGCCCCCATCTATTCAGCCTCTCCCTATAGCTCAAACGCTTCAAACCTGGCAACATCCTTGTACTCCTTCTCCGAACGCTTTCAAGTTTAACAACATCCTTCCTACGGTAAGGAGACCAGAATTCCATGCAGTATTCCAAAAGTGGCCTAACTAATGTCCTGTATAGCTGCAACATGACCTTCCAACTCCTATACTCAATGCACTGACCAATAAAGGCAAGTATACCAAACACCTCCTTCACTATCCTGTCTACCTGCAACTCCTCTTTCAAGGAACTATGAACCTGCACTCCAACGTCTCTTTGTTCAACACTACTCCCCAGGTCCTTACCATTAAGCATGTAAGTCCTGTCCTGATTTCCCTTTCCAAAATGCAGCACCTCACATTTATCTAAATTAAACTCCAGCTGCCACCTCTCAGCCCCATTGGCCCAACTGATCAACATCCCATTGTACTCTGAGGTAACCTTCTTCACTGTGCACTACATCTCCAATTTTGGTGTCATCTACAAACTTAGTAAGCATTCCTATGTTCATTTCCAAATCATTCTCCTGCCTTCTCCCCATAACGCTTGATCCTCTTACCAATCAAGAGCCTGTTAGAACTTCTGTTTTAAAAACACAATGACTTGGCCTGAATACATAATCAAAGACAAATGCGTATGTCTCAATGTCCCACCCATCTGTACAAAGCTAAATATCAGTGTAAGACGCAGATATTGTGGATAGGTGAGCATTGCACAACACAATGCAAGAGATTTAATATAAGACACATGAAACCCAACAACGAAAGTTGTTTGGTGAAGCTTTACTATTAAACTGAGAAAGCCAATAAAAGACCAAAATTTCTAAAAGTAGAAGACAACTGAAAAGTGTCTTGTTTTCCAACTTACCCATTGGGTCCAACTAAACCATATCTCCTACCAGCCACAATGAACAGGTCAGCATTGATGAAGAGCTCTTTCCCATGAGCCGAGATGCTGAACCTCTCCAGCTGAAAAATGAAAGATGAAAGAAAGAAATGAAAGGTCCATTTAAAAAAGTACAGTTTCCAGAAGAAAACTTCAAGGAAAAAATGGTAATATCTCACTGTAAGCTTTACATTCGTCCAACACCCTTCTTTAAGTTCCAGTTGTCCTGACATTTGTTGGCTGGAAATTTCTCTGTCTTCCTCAACCTTTCTCCTCTCAGCTCATGAAATATACTAACAGGTGCCGAGTTCTGCAGGATCTTTACAGAAATTGTCATTTTTATGTAGGATTGGCAAACTACTCAACAATGGGGGAAAATTGCAGCACAGCCCAATTTTGCCTTTGTTGAACAGGAATTACTGGATTGTAGTCACAAGCAGCAAGTCAGTCTCTCTCCTCCAAACCCCAACTGCCTGGTTGAGTGGGACTGCAGCCAAATATTACATCTCAATTGCTGTACCAACTGAAATGACACATTCTTTAATTCAAGAGTGATAGCTGCCAGAACAAACTACACAAAACTGCTACTCAGCATTTTCAAACAAGTCAAAATGCAGTTAGGCCATAAGCTGTGGGAAAAGTGCTTCAATGATCAGCTTTCATTTTGTGATTTGTACCTTACCAATTGGACTTGTGACACCACAGGAGATTGGGACAGAAGTAATTATTTAGACGAGGAACATTAAAAATTAATCTGAACAGTATATTTCTCCTCAAAATCAAGCTAGAAATTTACATTGAGGCAACTCAACAAAACTTTTCTTGAAATCACACACAATTCTAAATGCACTTATTGACTGGTAGTCGGAATTAAGTTTTATATTTTACAATCAGTAGGCAACTAACGTCGCAATTCTAAAAGATGACCTGCGCTTGATCTTCAGAACAAAACTATTCACAAAACCGATGTTAAAAGAAGTCATTACTCTTCCATTTTTCCGGCTACATTGTCTACACCTGCAGAGATCTCCCCAGTGTGATTTTCAAGTAACATCGCTGAATAGGATGCACACAGGTCTGAAGCTCACAGACAGAATTTGAGTGCACAATCTGGCACAACATTTTAGCACAGTACTCAAACTGTGGAATTGTGACAATGTAACACTTTATGCGTAAAGTCAAACTATTCAAAATCATTGCACTTCAATGTCGAAGCTGTGTCAAATATTTTGAGAAATACTGATGTGGAAAGATTGTCAGGTCAATTTTTTCTGTCAAGCATACCTTCGTTGAGGCAGGAAGCCTAGCACACAATCCAATAGCAACTGGTGCTCGAGCACTGGGTCAATTCAATATCTTAAATCCAGGTGGCTCAACTCAGTCAGCTGTTACCATCAATATTTCAACATGGTCTGGAACTAATTGCCAGGTCAGGACATCACAATAGTACCTTGATATCTGATGCATTCTCCAACATGGCTTGTCTTGATGATTTTTCAGCTTGTGACACAGAGAAATCACCCTCAGCATCATTTGAAGATTTCAGTACATCTACTTGACGTTGAAATTCAATCTGGACAGAATATAAAAAGACATTAGGACAAATGAGACTTTACACCTATATTTTCCAATACATCAGTGACCCAATTTTAAAAAAGGATATGAAACTATTTTAGTATCTTAAAATGTTTCCACTTTTATGGTTTTTCACTGGTCCAAACAGGTCTGTGAAATTGCCAATCTTAAATAGAAATATAAAAATCAAAAGAACTGCAGACGCTGTAAATCAGGAACAAAAAGCAGAAGTCATCGCTGGAAAAGCTCAGGAGGTCTGACAGCATCTGTGAAGAAAAAAAATCAGAGTTAACATTTCGGACCGCTGATCCTTCCTACTGAACCTTATCTTTTCTTCACAGATGCTGCCAGACATGCTGAGCTTTTCCAGCAACTTCTGTTTTTGTCAAATAGAAATATGTTGACCACTGTTTGTTCAGCGAAGAAGTCAAGCTGCTGATAAGCACAAGTCAACAACCCTAAGGGAGACCTTACTAAAAGCAAAAGAGGTTCTAAACAGGTTTCTGCGAATAGTCCACATAAATGTGCTAAACATTCACAATTATAGGTTTCCACATTGGCATCAAAATTTAATTCCCTACCCA